TTGATATTTTCCAGCCCTGCTAGCAGTTTAAATTGCTCATTCATGACTATATCCCCAGTTGAAATGTATACGTTCCTGAAGCGGAGTCCTGCGTGTCACAAGTACAGTAAACTACGGTTATAACGAACTCAAAGGGACTACTATTTTTAGTTCGTTATAACCGTAGTTCGTTATAAGCATATATACAGCATAACCACAGCAAATAGTCGGGACTAAAAAGTAGGTTCGTTATATCCATCAGTTCGTTATAAGCGTGTTCGTTATAACCGTAGTTTACTGTATCAGACACACGACCGGGTGTGTGGGCTCCCACCCACGTCACTTTACTGGTTGAGCGGGACAAACCCACACAAAACAGGTCAAGGGTGAATGCACTTCTAACTCTCCGTCTCTTACCTGACATAAGCTAACCTGAACAACAGGATATAATTTTTTAATGTGAGGTTTACACGATATACGGCTTTTCGATTGGATGAGAGGCCGGTCACATGAGTGTATGAACCAAACAATTTGACGTTCATACGTTTTTCACGAGACTGTGTTCTTGAAATGACGTAAACACTGACGGACTACTTCACATTCCTTGGTGGGCCCCTGGGAATTTCCAAGCACGAATACACACAGAAACGTTGTTTCTGATCATTTAGACCCTTTAATATTTAACATACATTGAGAGTGAGTGAGTATGGTTTTACGCCGCTTTTAGCAATATTCCAGCAATATCACGGCGGGGGACACTAGAAATGGGCTTCACACATTGTACCCATGTCGGGAAACGAACCCGGGTCTTCGGCGTGACGAGCGAGCGAACGCTTTCACCACTAGGCTACGCGACCGCCCGCATACAGTGAGAAACGTCAGAGAGTTTGACTGCGTGATCGTTCACGAATATCCTCGCTACGACCCGTCCTTGTGAACAAAACGAAGAAGAGCGGAAGGTCGGTGGTTCGATTCCCGGCCGCGTTATACCAAAAGACGTTTAAATATGGTACTTGTTGTTACCTGCCTGGTGGATGCACCTCGCTATATAAGTGCAATAATCTTTAACGCGACGTTAAAGACCATTTCAAGTCACATTGTTGAGGAGATAATCATTCTGTGTTTTCAACGTGGAGGTAGGTTATATGTAGCTTTAACAACGCTTAATTCCATTATGAACCGAACGTTTAGCGTAATAACCTTTTTACACTTCGCATTAACTTTTATATGCCATCTACTCCTCGTTGTGGGAATATTACACCTGACGAACAACACATGTTTACACTTCAACATTTAGCAGAGGTGGGGTGAATGGGGTTAACGTCGCGATCAAAATTAATGCATATATACCAACATGTGTGTGTGTGTGTGTTTGTGTGTGTGTGTGTGTGTGTGTGTGTGTGTGTGTGTGTGTGTGTGTGTGTTTGTGTGTGTGTTTGTGTGTGTGTGTTTGTTTGTGTGTGTGTGTGTTTGTGTGTGTGTGTTTGTGTTTGTGTGTGTGTGTGTTTGTGTGTGTGTTTGTGTGTGTGTGTGTGTGTGTGTGTGTGTTTGTGTGTGTGTGTGTGTGTGTGTTTGTGTGTGTGTGTGTGTGTGTGTGTGTATGTGAATGTGCTTGTACTAGTCCTGACTAATACCGCTTGTATGGTACTTGCCTACTAATATACAATGCACCAGTATAACATCGCTGAGTGAGTGTCGGGTGCTACCGAAAGAGCAGGATATGCTTACCCTTTTCCCGAACACCTGGTATCATCACTGAATTTCAGTGATCCATTTTTACTGCCTTTTACGCCAAAACAAATCTATTTCGGCAGATAATCGAGACTGGTTTTTCTCTGCCGTTGACTTAAACATATTTGAATAAGTTCGCAGTGTAGCCACATGTTGAACAGCATTTGTCATATTCTCCGCAGCTCTTGGTTTTCTTTACCCTAATTTCTAGTACTCTAACTGGCGGTTAATGTACAACCGTGTTCGTCTGTGTATTATTTACGTCCTTTCAAAAACCGATGTAACCGCAGTAAAATACATACCTCAACAACACCTGCGGTAAATATCCACACACATTCTTCACTTGCCTTCCACGCCTTCGAATGGACATTCAGGTCACAGTGATGTCTGCCGCCCGACGTGATGTCGCCTGAAGCATTGCTGTACGTGTCGTTACACCAACTTACCTTCACCGTCTCTTTCAGGAACACAGCGTGAGCCTTAGTTACAAGGTCGACCTGTTTATACACTTAGTCTTTGGAGGCGGTGCGCCCTTAGACGTGCTGGGATTTTAGATTTTCCAACATAATTGCATTGGGCAATTATCATTTTGGTCACTGATGCGCCCAATTTGGAAATGTGCTCCACATGTCTACCATATAACCTTTTGAAAGATTTACTGAGGCCTTGAATATTGTAACCTTCATCAAACAACGTTTGCCCAAGGGTCGTACGACGCACTTTGAAATCGTAGAAACGTTGTGAGACAGCAAGGGCTGGAACAGTAGGAACATCAGGAACATCAGGAACAGCAAGAACAACAGGAACAGCAAGAACATCAGCAACAGCAGGAACAGCAGGAATAGCAAGAACGTCAGGAACAGCAGGAACAACAAGAACAACAGAAACAGCAGGAAAAGCAGGAATATTGCTCGACATTAAGGGAACGTTGACCATAGGATAATTGAAATCATCCCTCTTGTCCTACAGTCTGGTGGAGAATTTTTGTCACTCTGATTCTTTTGGCATCTATCTCAATATGAAACAGACGAGGCGGTTTCACTGGTCAGATTTATTGCTTGTTCAGGTGGGTAATTCAGTGGGTGAAACACATCAGCAAGAAGGGAAGCATAACATCTACACATAGATGTTGTCAATGGGGAAATCCAGCATTTCATTATTAACACCCATTTCACCTCATTCCACCTCTCCTTACAGAAAGCACAACCGTAGTAAACTTGGAGAAAGCCTTCCTACATTAAGCCTAGTTCAACAGTACTCACTCATTCACTCAAAACATACACTTGTTTATGTTAAATTAAAGTTCGCATGAAAGAGACAGTTCGAGCCAGCTTAAGTTTAACGTGTCGACAGTTCGAACCAGTTTACGTTTAGCGTGTTGACAGTTCGAACCAGTTTGCGTTTAGCGTGTTGACAGTTCGAGCCAGCTTACGTTTAGCGTGTTGACAGTTCGAACCAGTTTACGTTTAGCGTGTTGACAGTTCGAACCAGTTTACGTTTAGCGTGTTGACAGTTCGAACCAGTTTACGTTTAGCGTGTTGACAGTTCGAACCAGTTTACGTTTAGCGTGTTGACAGTTCGAACCAGTTTACGTTTAGCGTGTTGACAGTTCGAACCAGCTTTCGTTTAGCGTGTCGACAGTAACGAAAACCCAATTTCTTCCATAAAAGTGGGGGTAACAAATAAAATGCTACACTCGTTCTCGTAAGATACTATATACTTTTACGAAAAGCGTGAACTTTTTGTGGTATCTTAAGAGAACAAGTGCAGTCTCATTGTACAGTAAACTACGTTTAAAACGAACACGCTTATAACGAAAAGACGGATATACTTGGAGAACGGCTTCCAACATTAAGCTGATACGCAGTGCTATAACCGACTAAACAGCTCAAAGACTAGTTCAACAGCACTCACTTATTCACTCAAAACATACACTTGTTGACGTTAAATTAAAGTTCGCATGAAAGAGACCCTGCTGTTTGATAAGACCTCAGTTATCTTATCTCTTCCGAAATAACGTTAACATAACACTTCAATGGCGTATGTGGTGTTTACTCATTGAGGTGGGAATAATGCATCTGGTGCCGACAAACAGGATCTATTGTGTTGTTTACATTCTTCTAGACGGTATAAATATGACTTGATAGATGCCTTTCATACTACATTCAAACTCCTATTCAACTAAACACGTCACAAGACAAGGTAAGTTGTGACAATTATCCACTCCAGTGGCTGTTTATTTAGATGGTTTGAATCGCAGATTAGCCTCGATAATGTTTTTGGGTTGTCAGCACCATAAACGAGCTCCTGGGTTTCACAAGTAGGACATAAATCTGAAATTCTGTTCAAAGCACGTTAAACCAAACTCACTCACTCACTCACTCACTCACTCACTCACTCACTCACTCACTCTATTGCGTTGAGATCATATTCAAGTATATATTTCATTTCTCGCCATTTCTAATGCGACTTTTAATGTACAACATTGTTTTGCTTTGCGGTATTCACGTTCGTTTTTTAACCATAGTAAAGACCTTGACATAGAACTGGAGTGAGTGAGTGAATATGGTTTTACGAAGCCATGAGGAATATTCCAGCAATATCACGGGGGGGGGGGGGGACACAAGAAATGGGCTTCATACATTGTACCAATGTGCAAATTCGAACCCGTGCCTTCAGCGTGACGTTCTAACGCTTTAACCACCAGGCTACCCGACTGCCCCTGATAGAACGGCAAACCTCTTGAATATTTGCATCCAATATCTACATTCTTTACATGACTTCTACACCTTCAATTGTATATCACGGTTATACCAGTGTCAGGGGGCACGGGTGGCCCAGTCATCTAAGGCTTCACTGTGCAGAGTTGCGTCCCTTGGGCACGCCAGAAACCTATGATTGTGGGTTCGAATCCCGGTTCGCCCCGATTATGTTTCTAGGTTTCTAGTGAGTGAGTGAGTGAGTTGGGTTTAACTCCGCTTTTAACAGTATTCCAGTTATATCACGGCGCGTCAGCTTAATGTGGGAGGAAAGCCCGAAGTGATGCAGGTCTCAGACGTATACCACTTCGGTGAAACCCACGAGCACGGGTATGGTGCTGACAAACCTAGAAACATAATTGGGGCAAACCGGGATTCGAAACCACAATCATAGGTTTCTGGCGTGCCCAAGGGACGCAACTCTGCATAGCGAATCGCGGCGCCTTAGATGACTGGGCCACCCTTGCCCCCTTCCTATGAAGCTAAATTGGTATAAAATAACTGAACGTTTGCCTTTTTATTTACAGAAGCATGACCCTGCTGCCCCTGATGTACCTCTCAATGATGCTCACGACCTGTTGCTTCACACAGAACACTGTCAAGCAGATAAAGGAAAACATGAAATCCTATGCCAAGGGCTATGTTATCCAATACTATGCGCCTTATGTTAACACACAACCTGATGAGCATAAAATGAAGCTCTTGAAACACCTAGAGGACAACCTGCTACTAATTACCAGTACGGAGGACAAGGAGATCGATGGGATGGACACACTGGTAAAGGGAAGAAGTAAAGTTTCCACAGACGTTGAAGATAATCTTGGTCCTAAAATCAGAAGTTTGTCTGCAAAGATTGACAGTAACGATGGCTTGCTTGTCTCCAATCCACAGAATTTGATGAGGGCAGTTTCCCGAGATGTAGAGGACAGTTTGGAACATAAGATCAGGAGTCTGTCCAATAAGGTTGACAGTAACGATGGCTTGCTTGTCTCCAATCCACAGAATTTGATGAGAGCAGTTTCCAGAGATGTAGAGAACAGTTTGGAACATAAGATCAGGAGTCTGTCCAATAAGGTTGACAGTAACGATGGCTTGCTTGTCTCCAATCCACAGAATTTGATGAGAGCAGTTTCCAGAGATGTAGAGAACAGTTTGGAACATAAGATCAGAAGCTTGTCTGCAAAGGTTGACAGTAACGATGGCTTGCTTGTCTCCAATCCACAGAATTTGATGAGAGCAATTTCCCGAGATGTGGAGAACAGTCTGGAACATAAGATCAGGAGTCTGTCGAATAAGGTTGACAGTAACGATGGCTTGCTTGTCTCCAATCCACAGAATTTGATGAGAGCAGTTTCCAGAGATGTAGAGAACAGTTTGGAACATAAGATCAGAAGTTTGTCTGCAAAGGTTGACAGTAACGATGGCTTGCTTGTCTCCAATCCACAGAATTTGATGAGAGCAGTTTCCCGAGATGTAGAGAACAGTTTGGAACATAAGATCAGAAGTTTGTCTGCAAAGGTTGACAGTAACAATGGCTTGCTTGTCTCCAATCCACAGAATTTGATGAGGGCAGTTTCCAGAGATGTAGAGAACAGTCTCACAGACGTCATTGAAGCGATCATCGATCAGCTACACAAAAATATGACTAGCGATGCCCAACTGTATAATGTTTTGAAAGAAGCATTGTTGTCATGGTTTCAATATCATGCTGAACACGATGATATGCAACTTCACAACCTTGACTTGGAGAATCTGATTAATTGGCTGACACTTGTGCACAACTCAAGGAGAAACGTCAGCAAAGAAGAGGAATCCTTTTACACACACTGGAACACATCCCTGCCTATCTTGAGAGATACTTTGTCGTTCGCCGATACCGTCAAACCATTGTCAACATACGTATCCCTTTCTCTGATAGGCTTGACAGATAGCTTCATGAATCTCTACTGGCCTTTCCGTCGTGACATCAACCTAATGAACCAAAGATTAGCAGTCAAGGGTTTCAGGGGCACAGACGTGAGTGAAAATGATGCTAAGAAAGCGTTCTTTGACGAAATCAGAAAAATTCAGCCGATTCATCTCCCTGTGAAGAAAAATGAAATTGTACTCATCTTTGATGATGAGGACATAGCAGATTGGTTGAACGTCACAGGAGTTATGTCCCTTTCACCAGCCTACATGGCTTCTAAGAAACACATATTCACTGGGGAAGAGCAAAAGAAGATATCGACCACTGCACATGCCGCTCTCAGGATGATCAACAACACTCATCCTGAACTCTTTGACGCAATGACACAGATGATATCCTGCATTGCTTTCTACAAACAAGAACACAAGGTTAACTTAGCTGGAGGAGTTCGCTCTGCCCTTGGTATGTTCTGGATGGACCCGAGTGTTGGGAGAGAATGGAGCGTTCCCTTCATGGCGGAGCAAATAGTCCACGAGTACACCCACAACTCACTCAACTATGCAGAATTTGTCCATGGAACCTACAACGATAAATCGTCGTTGGGAAAGGCTGAGGTGAAATCGGCAATTCGTCTGGTTCCTCGACCCTACGACAAATCCCTGCATGCAGCTTACGTGTCAGCGGGACTTGTAACCTTTCATTCCAGGACTGGCTATCTGGAAAGAGCTGCACAGCTGCTGGAAACTCTTCCCCAAGCCGTGCGTGATCTGGCAACTGTGGAGGCAGAGAAGCATGTGTTGGATGGGTCCGGCAGGGCAATAGTCAAGTTCCTCACTGACTACATGTACCTCACAAGACTCTGAATGTTCCATGCTGATTTTATATAAACTTTTTCAATAAACGGTTGCCAACTATAATAGTTTTTACATTGATGTGCTTTTTGTGCAAGACAATTCAGATGTCAGAAGGTGTTCTCACATCCACACTGAACACGAACACGTTTTACTAAATGTCTGCTGTCCACTAGATATCTTGTCAATCGATGGTGCTGACTAAATGATACTTGAGTCAGTATATCATAGCTGTTCATTAATATCCCAGTCAATGGTACCCTAACTATTAAGCACTGGTCAGTGACATCACATTAACCCTCAAAAGTAATTAAATACCAACAGATTGGACAGTGGCATTTTTTCATCTTACAATTCAGATCCTCCAAGGGAAGAAAAGCTTCCTCAATTTTGAGCTGGTCAGTGGTTTCACCAGACCAACCAGGTCATGTGCACAGTGCACAATTTTAATGCACATGTCAAGAGAATCAATTGAGCACAGGTATCAGAAGCTATTAAGGATCAGAGTGAATAACACCACATCAAATCAGCCACCCTTGTCAGTTATGACCTTATGTATAACTTATAACCTCCAATATACCCTGTAATGTTACACACCTTCTACACTGTGTAACGTGTCACTTCCAATATATGCTGTGATTTTACACTTCTTATAAGTATGTAACGTCACGCCTTCAATATACCTCTTGATGTTACACTTCTTATAAGTGTGTAATGTGTCACTTCCAAAATACCTCTTGATGTTACACTTCTTCTACACGGTGTAGCGTGTCACCTCCAATGTACCATGTGATGTTACACCTCTTCTACACTGTGTAACGAGACGCCTCCAATATACCGTGTGATGTTACACCACTTCTACACTGCATAACGTGTCACCTCCAATATGCCCACTGATGTTACACTTCTTATAACTGTGTAACGTTTCACCTCCGATATATACTGTGAGGTTACACCTCTTCTACAATGTGTAACGTTTCACCTCCGATATATACTGTGAGGTTACACCTCTTCTACACTGTGGAACGAGACACCTCCAATATACCCTGTGATGTTAACTTCTTCTATACTGTGTAACGTTTCATCTCCAATATACCGTTTGATGTTGCAACACTTCTATACTGTGTAACGTGTCATCTCAAATATACGGTGTAAGGTTACACCTCTTCTACACTGTGTAACGTGTCACCTTCAATATACCCTTTGAGGTTACACCTCTTCTACACTGTGTAACGTGTCACCTTCAATATACCGTGTGAGGTTACACCTCTTCTACACTGTGTAACGTGTCACCTTCAATATACCGTGTGAGGTTACACCTCTTCTACACTGTGTAACGTGTCACCTTCAATATACCGTGTGAGGTTACACCTCTTCTACACTGTGTAACGTGTCACCTTCAATATACCGTGTGATGTTACACCTCTTTTACACTGTGTAACGTGTCACCTCCGATATACCGTGTGAGGTTACACCTTTTCTACACTGTGGAACGTGTCACCTTCAATATTAACTTTCAGGTTACACCTCTTCTACACTGTGGAACGTGTCACCTTCAATATACCGTGTGATGTTACACCTCTTCTACACCGTGGAACGTGTCACCTCCAATATACCGTGTGAGGTTACACCTCTTCTACATTGTGGAACGTGTCACCTCCAATATACCGTGCGAGGTTACACCTCTTCTACACTGTGTAACGTGTCACCTCCAATATACCGTGTGAGGTTACACCTCTTTTACACTGGGTAACGTGTTACCTCCGATATATCGTGTGAGGTTACACCTCTTCTACACTGTGTAACGTGTCACCTCGAATATACCGTGTGAGGTTACACCTCTTCTACACTGTGTAACATGACACCTCCAATATACCGTCTGATGTTACTTTTCTTATAACTATGTAACGTGTCACCTCAATTATACTTTGTGATGTTACACCTCTTATATACTGTATAACGTGACACCTCCAATATACTTTGTGATGTTACATTTCTCATAACTGTGTAACGTGACGCCTTCAATTTTACCTCTTGATGTTACACCTCTTTAACAGGGTGTTCGTGACACCTCCAATATACTGGATAAAGAGACACCTCGAATGTTTTTTAACACGTTACATGTAGCACGACACTATATCGAGTAAAGTTACACCTACAACACGCTAGATAATGGTACACCTTCAATAAACTGGGTACGGTTCAACCGCCAAAGTCTTGGTAACTTTAAATAGTTTGTGTATTGTGTTATGCGGAACCTCCAAAACACCTTGTTACGTTACACCTCTAATGTCTACTTGGTAACTTGTGTTGAACATCTCATATACTGGGTAATGTGAAACCTGATTTATACCTTGTGATGTTGAATATATAATATCCTGGATAATGTAAAAACCTCATTCCTACCTTATCACGTAGAACATCTAATATACTGGGTAATGTGAAACCTCATTTATACCTTGTAAATGAGTGAGTTGGGTTTAACTCCGCTTTTAACAGTATGCCAGCTATACCACGGCGTGTCAACTTTATGTGAGAGGAAAGCCCGAATTGATGCAGGTCTCAGACGTCTACCACTTCGGTGAAACCCACGAGCACGGGTACGGTGCTGACAAACCTGGATACATAATTGGGGCGAACCGGGATTCGAACCCACAATCATAGGTTTTTGGCGTGTCCAAGGGACGCAACTCTGCACAGCTAATCGCGGCGCCTTAGACGACAGGGCCATCCGTGCCCCTTATACCTTGTGATGTTGAACATCTAATATACTTGGTAATGTGAAACCTCATTTATACCTTGTGGTGTTGAACATCTAACAAACTGGGTGATGTGAAATATAACATAATATTATAAAGACAGCAACTCATGATCACTCACTATGTTTGTAAATATATTGTTTCTCTTGATGCAGGTTAGTGTGCCTCGAACCTGTCAGTCGCTATCAGTGACCACGTCATCCGTGTCAGCACAACACGGCCCATATCCTGCACATTGGTCAATCCCGTAACATCCACAACTTTATGTGACCAGACGTCATGCGATTATACACACCTGTGCTTCGATAAGGATGTATTTACACGACATTTATGACTTAAAGTTCACAAATCTGAAATAATTGTTTTAACCACTAAGTGTCGGATATATTTGTTTTTATCTCACCCGTCCAACGATAATTTAATGAGATCACATAAAAAACACAGATCATTATTTTCTTTTATTATCTCGTCAACAAAAACAAGGTCAAGCAGAAGTCATCTGACTTTCAATTAAATCCATTGACGAAATATTGCCGACGTTAGTTAACACTTGCAATTCCCTAAACCACTGACGTATATAGAATGTATTTAAATGAGTATCCCATCAGGATACCAACCCCAATTCACACGACAGATCATCTTCCTGAGGCAAGAGAGTTAACTGGCTATCACGAGTAATGTCCTTTCTATGCCTCTCCTATGGACCAATCAGATTCAACCTCTTATATCACTTGCATTTGCTTCAAACAAAACGGTGGCGCCCAGTAAAGAAGATCTGATCGATAATCAAGATCTATATTGTGATAAAACGAGTCATACATCGCGAGGTGCATCAAATCACATGAGCACCTTGATTAAAATGTTTGTTGACAACGAGTTAGTGTTGCACATGCTTTGCAAACTCTGCAGTCGACCGAAATCTGCATGACTCTTTACGAACCGGATTTCGATTTCGGTGCGCGATTTTGATTGGACTATGCATAGACTCGTTAGTCCAGCCAAACTGTAACTCCATAATACCAGCCTAGTTCGGCAAGGGAGGAAACTGGACTTTTATAGTCAGTTAACTCACTTGCCTTGGGAAGATGACGACCGATAAAATAAGACATTTTGTATTCACTAAAAAATAAAATGACGAGAAAATGACGAGGCGGGTAGGTCAGCAATGTTCAACCTATATAGTACGATGCCCTGGATGGACCAAAAATACAAACAGTGGTTTATAATATGAGTAATGGTCCAGTCTCCAATACGATGACACACATGCACTGAAACCATCCTGCATCTGCAGATGTGTTTGGGTACGTCCCAATGTCGACGTGTACTCTATAGAACCATCAGTATTTACCAAAACAGACCATACAATGTATAGCAGCCGCTCTCAGCGGGCCACAGTGGTCTATATCGCTGTTCAGTGTTCTATGTCTTAGCCATACCAGGATCCACATATCGTGGGTTGAAATCCATGATTCCCCAGGTGATGATCGTTGGTTTTTCACCACTACTCCCTCAATTGGAACAAAGTCCATTTTAATATAATATCATGTAAATAATGTCATATTATATATTAGAGTCAGGACCTGCTTCTGGTATACACCGTACCCCTAGGCCTGCTTGGGGGTTTACTAAAAGCTGACATGACGTCATATGACAGAAATACTGTTCAACGCGGCGCCAAACCCAACACCCTCCCTCACTCAAAGTGTCCTTGGCGCTACAAGTCGCCTGTACATCGTTACGTCCTTCAGTTATAACAGGATCCGATTGTCAAGGATAACAATGCCAGGCCCGCCTCATAAAGATCTGACAGAAGTATTGTATTCTATGGGTATATCTAAACAGGAGACCTTCGTGGTCTAATGGATAGAAATGTCTGCCCGTAAGGTGAAAGTTCGGTGGTTCGAACCCCTGGCATGGTACCAACTGATTTTTCTTGTTGCCTGTCGCTCGGCATTAATGGGATAAAAAAAGGACTGGCAGGCTCAGAGTGGTCAGTTTAATGTGTCTAAGAGGGTGCCCATGGCAAACTGTACGTTGGTATCATGGTGGGGTAGCACTATGAAACCGGCAAAAGTCCGGAAACACGTAAAAGAAAAGCCGCTGTTTGCTGATATGACCTAAATTATCTTATCTGTTCCAAAATACTTTCAGCATAACGCTTGCATGGCGTACATGGTGTTTACTCATTGTGGTGGGAACAATGACATCTGATGCTGACAAACAGGATATATGTGTTGTTTACATTCTTCTAGACGGTATAAATATGACTTGTGATAGTTGTCTTTCATACCACACTCAAACTCCTATTCAGCTAAACACATCACAAGACAAGGTAAGTTATGACAATTATCCGCTCCAGTGGCTATTTATTTAGATGTTTTGAATCGCAGATTAGCCCCGATAATGTTTTTTTGGTTTGTCAGCACCATAAACGAGCTCCTGGGTTTCTCCAAAGTGATAATCGTCTTAAAGCAACGTTACTTCGGGATTTCCTCCCACATCACACTGACATGCCTTCATATATCTGGAATACTGGTCAAAGCACGTTAAACAAAACTCACTCACTCACTCACTCACTCACGTATTGGTGTGATAGTCTACAGTTGGATCCTATGATAAAACTTATAATCGCGTTAGTCGTCACCTTCTTATTGTGCCGATGAGTGAGTGAGGGAGTATGGTTTGACGCGGCTTTTAGCAATATTCCAGCAATATCACGGCGAGGGGACACCAGAAACGGGCTTCACACATTGTACCCGGTGTCATCGTAAACTACAGCGTGGATCGTTGATCATACTGGCAACCATTCATTGACTGGCGCTAATTCAATTATATTCAGGCCCCCGGAATAATGCTAGAATATTGCTTTGAGATCATATTCAACTATATATTTCATTTCTCGCCATTTCTAATACTTCATTTAATTTGCAACCTTGTTTTACCATGCGGTATTCACGTTCGTTTTTTAACCATGGTGAAGACCTTGACATAGAACTGGAGTGAGTGAGTGAGTGAATATGGTTTAACGGCTCCGTGAGAAATATTCCAGCATAATCACGGCGGGGACACAAGAAATGGGCTTCATACATTGTACCAATGTGGAAATTGGAACCCGTGCCTTCGGCGTGACGTTCTAACGCTTTAACCCCTAGGCTACCCGACTACCCCTGATAGAACGGCAAACCTCTTGCATCCAATATCTACACATATATTCTTTACATGACTTCTACACCTTCAATTGTATATCTCGGTTATAACAGTGTCAGTCGACCACTGTGATGTGAAGGCACACTCTTTAACCATAAAGGATATCTGTAATCTGAGTATTAACATTTTTAAAACATTATTATTTCATAATCTCGATGATTATATGTGGGGGATAAAAGAAGGGGATAAGTGGGTATTCTATTGATTGATTTTAAAATATATGTTGTGCCCATTCAAATTACAGAAGCTGGCATCTATCAAAATGTGGTTCCTGTGTATACCACATTTACATGCACTTCAAAGATTAACACCAGTTAGACATGAGTTGCATGTGCAATTCCAAAATATGTGAATGAAGTTGATAAAATATATGATTGCAGTATGTAGAGAAGGATCTACTGCAACAATGCGGTAGTGTGACGCACCAAATAGACACATGATCGACCACCAATATGGGAATAAAAGGTTGAAAAAGTTATATTTCTTAAACCAATCGGTATATACATACATATTGTTAGTGGCTGTAGGTCTTGAGTTACTTCATTCTAAATCATTATTCGTATGGACCAACATTAACTACACTTATGGTTTAAATATTCAGCGTCATGCTGCATATGTCAAAATGTGCTTCCCTCCTATGAAGTGAGTTCGGTTTAACTCGGCTTTTAACATTATTCCAGTTATATCACGGCGTGTCAGCTTAATGTGGGAGGAAAGCCCGAAGTGATGCAGGTCTCAGACGTTTACCGCTTCGGTGAAACCCACGAGCACGGGTATGGTGCTGACAAACCTGGAAACATAATCGGGGCGAACCGGGATTCGAAACCACAATCATAGGTTTCTGGCGTGCCCAAGGGACGCAACTCTGCACAGCGAATCGCGGCGCCTTAGACGACTGGGCCACCCTTGCCCCCTTCCTATGAAGCTTAATTGGTATAAAATAACTGAACGTTTGACTTTTTATTTACAGAAACATGACCCTGCTGACCCTGATTTACCTCTCAATGATGCTCACGACCTGTTGCTTCACACAGAGCACTGTCAAGCAGATAAAGGAAAACATGAAATCCTATGCCAAGGGCTATGTTATCCAATACTATGTGCCTTATGTTAACACACAACCTGATGAGCATAAAATGAAGCTCTTGAAACACCTAGAGGACAACCTGCTACTAATTACCAGTACGGAGGACAAGGAGATCGATGGGATGGACACACTGGTAAAGGGAAGAAGTAAAGTTTCCACAGACGTTGAAGATAATCTTGGTCCTAAAATCAGAAGTTTGTCTGCAAAGGTTGACAGTAACGATGGCTTGCTTGTCTCCAATCCACAGAATTTGATGAGGGCAGTTTCCCGAGATGTAGAGGACAGTTTGGAACATAAGATCAGGAGTCTGTCCAATAAGGTTGACAGTAACGATGGCTTGCTTGTCTCCAATCCACAGAATTTGATGAGGGCAGTTTCCCGAGATGTAGAGGACAGTTTGGAACATAAGATCAGGAGTCTATCCAATAAGGTTGACAGTAACGATGGCTTGCTTGTCTCCAATCCACAGAATTTGATGAGAGCAGTTTCCAGAGATGTAGAGAACAGTTTGGAACACAAGATCAGGAGTCTGTCCAATAAGGTTGACAGTAACGATGGCTTGCTTGTCTCCAATCCACAGAATTTGATGAGAGCAGTTTCCCGAGATGTAGAGAACAGTTTGGAACATAAGATCAGGAGTTTGTCTGCAAAGGTTGACAGTAACGATGGCTTGCTTGTCTCCAATCCACAGAATTTGATGAGAGCAGTTTCCGGAGATGTAGAGGACAGTTTGGAACATAAGATCAGGAGGCTGTCCAATAAGGTTGACAGTAACGATGGCTTGCTTGTCTCCAATCCACAGAATTTGATGAGAGCAGTTTCCCGAGATGTAGAGAACAGTTTGGAACATAAGATCAGGAGTTTGTCCAATAAGGTTGACAGTAACGATGGCTTGCTTGTCTCCAATCCACAGAATTTGATGAGGGCAGTTTCCCGAGATGTAGAGGACAGTTTGGAACATAAGATCAGAAGTTTGTCTGCAAAGGTTGACAGTAACAATGGCTTGCTTGTCTCCAATCCACAGAATTTGATGAGGGCAGTTTCCCGAGATGTAGAGAACAGTCTCACAGACGTCATTGAAGCGATCATCGATCAGCTACACAAAAATATGACTGGCGATGCCCAACTGTATAATGTTTTGAAAGAAGCATTGTTATCATGGTTTCAATACCATGCTGAACACGATAATATGCAACTTCACAACCTTGACTTGGAGAATCTGATTAATTGGCTGACACTTGTGCACAACTCACGGAGAAACGTCAGCAAAGAAGAGGAATCCTTTTACACACACTGGAACACATCCCTGCCTATCTTGAGAGATACTTTGTTGTTCGCCGATACCGTCAAACCATTGTCAACATACGTATCCCTTTCTCTGATGGGCTTGACAGATAGCTTCATGAATCTTTACTGGCCTTTCCGTCGTGACATCAACCTAATGAACCAAAGATTAGCAGTCAAGGGTTTCAAGGGCACAGACGTGAGTGAAAGTGATGCTAAGAAAGCGTTCTTTGGCGAAATCAGAAAAATTCAGCCGATTCATCTCCCTGTGAAGAAAAATGAAATTGTACTCATCTTTGATGATGAGGACATAGCAGATTGGTTGAACGTCACAGGAGTTATGTCCCTTTCACCAGCCTACATGGCTTCTAAGAAACACATATTCACTGGGGAAGAGCAAAGGAGGATATCGACCACTGCACATGTCGCTCTCAGGATGATCAACAACACTCATCCTGAACTCTTTGACGCAATGACACAGATGATATCCTGCATTGCTTTCTACAAACAAGAACACAAGGTTAACTTAGCTGGAGGAGTTCGCTCTGCCCTTGGTTTGTTCTGGATGGACCCGAGTGTTGGGAGAGAATGGAGCGTTCCCTTCATGGCGGAGCAAATAGTCCACGAGTACACCCACAACGCACTCAACTATGCAGAATTTGTCCATGGAACCTACAACGATAAATCCACGTTGGGAAAGGCTGAGGTGAAATCGGCCATTCGTCTGGTTCCTCGTCCCTACGACAAATCCCTGCATGCAGCTTACGTGTCAGCGGGACTTGTAACCTTTCATTCCAGGACTGGCTATCTGGAAAGAGCTGCACAGCTGGTGGAAACTCTTCCCCAAGCCGTGCGTGATCTGGCAACTGTGGAGGCAGAGAAGCTTGTGCTGGATGGGTCCGGCAGGGCAATAGTCAAGTTCCTCACTGACTACATGTACCTCACAAGACTCTGAATGTTCCATGCTGATTTTATATAAACTTTTTCAATAAACGGTTGCCAACTATAACAGTTTTTACATTGATGTGCTTTTTGTGCAAGACAATTCAGATGTCAGAAGGTGTTCTCACATCCACACTGAACACGAACACGTTTTACTAAATGTCTGCTGTCCACTAGATATCTTGTCAATCGATGGCGCTGACTAGATGATACTCTCAACGGCAGGACAACTGGAGACAAAGAGGGTAGTTTCACTTACATAGCAGATCAAGGATGTAGCGTAATCGATTATTTTATAGGTTCAGTTAATGTTCACAATTGTTGTCAATCCATGTTTGTGGATACAAGAGTTGAGTCAAAACATATGCCTGTATGTCTACATTTGGACATATTTCTCCCTAAAGTATCTACAAGTGATGATTATCTTTCCACCAAAACACACAAATATAAATGGAACCCTCGTAAGCGTGATGTGTTTATAGGAAGTATAACAAATCTATGTCCATCCTTCAACGAGCTCATCGATCTTTTAACTTTTGATTTCAATCTTGCCCTCGAAAAATTTGTTAATGTTGTTCTTTGTGCCGCTGACTGTATGAAGGTACCTTGTGTTAAAAGTTCACCCCGAAATACGGGGTTTTATAATAGTGAATGCAGACGAGCAAAACGGGAAGCGAGGCGATACATGAGGAAATTCAAAGAGAAGAAATCTAACGAAAATAAGTTAATCTTTTGTAAAATGAGAAACAAGTATAAACATGTTTGCAGAACAGCAAAATCAAACTATCAATTTATGACACGAACAAAACTAAAGCTATCTCTATCTGATTCAACCACATTTTGGAAAGAGTTACGGAGTATATCAGGTCGTAGGGAAACAAAGAATAACATAAGTAAAGAGTGCTGGTTTGATCATTTTACAAACGTTTTTCAGTGTACAGATGTATTACATGTTGAAGTCGAATGTCAATGTGATGAAGATTTTATACTTGATGAGATTGACCAGTGTATTTTGGAGTCGCCGATTACCGACTCAGAAATCCACAAGGCTATAAATCGTAAAGATAAAGAATGGCAAATCCCCTGGTGTTGATGACGTGGTCATTGAAATGTTAAAATGTTGTGAAAATGTAATAACTCCTTTCCTACGAAATTTGTTCAATAAGTTATTTGATTCTGGATTATTCCCTCAGAACTGGACAAAAGCTATTATCCTTCCACTACATAAGAAAGGTAACAAAAATAATCCAGATAACTTTAGAGGGATATCTCTATTGTGTACAATTAGTAAGGTTTACACAAGTGTCTTAAACTCTAGACTTACTAACTGGGCTAATATAAGAAGTAAATTACCCGAGACACAAGCAGGCTTTAGGCAGGGATATTCTCCTGCTGACCACATATTCACGTTGAATGCAATTGTTAACAAATGTTTATCGAACAGAAAAGGGAAATTATACGTTGCTTTTGTGGATTTTAAAAAAGCCTTTGATTCAGTAAATCATCTTAAACTATGGGAGTGTCTGCACGATGTAGGCTTGGGTGGAAAGATGATGAGAGCACTTAAGGGAATCTATGCCTCCGTAAAAGCGTGTGTGAGATGTAATGATAACATTTATACAGAATATTTTGATTGTCCTAACGGAGTTAAACAAGGCTGTATATTAAGCCCTCTATTATTTTCCTTTTTCATCAATGAACTGTCAAATGATGTTTCATCACATGGGAAACACGGCGTACAATTATTTCCTGACTTGTTTGAAATATTATTATTATTGTTTGCCGACGATGTTATTCTTGTCTCTGACACAGTAACTGGTTTACAGAACCAACTTCATATTCTTGATAACTTTGCAGATTCACATGAATTAACGGTTAATTTAGATAAAACGAGTGTTGTTGTATTTAGACGAGGAGGGCGGTTATCTGTTCATGAGAAATGGTTCTATAAAGGCAAACGTATTTCAACCGCCAACTCCTATAGATATCTTGGGTTTGTATTCTCATATACATCAAAGATGAACCAATGTGTTTCAGATCTAGCATCAAGGGGTAAACGAGCTTTAATGGAAATATTTCGCAATCTACGGAAGATTGGTTTTGTTGACACTTCAGTTTTCTTTAAAATATTTGATACTCAGATTCAAACTATTCTTTTATATGGTGCGGAAATATGGGGTGTAGACAGATTTGAAAAAATAGAACAAGTGCATATTATGGCTTGTAAGAAGTTTCTTAACGTTGGTTTGCAAACCCCAAATGCTATTGTGTATGGGGAATGCGGTCGGTACCCACTACATGTAAATGCTATGTGTCGTTCTGTAAAGTATTGGCTAAAACTGATTGAAATGGACGAAGATAGGATACCAAGAAAATCTTATAATATGCTTGTATATAACGACAAGTGTGGTCGTCAAAACTATGCTTCTTCTATTCGTTCCATATTATTTTCTCACGGATTCGGAGTAGTTTGGCTCAGTCAAGCTGTTGGCGACAAACCGTCATTCATGAATAGTTTTAAAAACGTTTTGATAAATATGTTCTACCAATCATAGAATAGTACTATCAAGGCTAGTTCTAGGTACATTCTGTATAAAGAATTTAAAAGTCTCCTGGAACCAGAAAAATACCTTTCCATTATTACTGAAATAAAATATCGAAATGTTTTGATAAGGCTTAGAGCCGGGCTACTAAGACTTAAGGTAAACGAAGGTAGATGGGCTGATATTGACTTAAGTTTACGACTCTGTCCCATATGTCAAACAAGTATAGAGAATGAATATCATTTTACTTTAGAATGTGAATATTACAACGATATTAGACATCTGTATTTACCAACAACATTTTGCAATAATCCAAATATGCATAAATTTAAAACGCTACTGTCATCTTCGTGTAAACAATTCCTTGGAAAACTATGTAAATACCTGTATTACAGCTATGAAAGAAGACGTAATTATGAAAAGCCTGTAAACCTGTAAATTTGTACCTGACATTACCTTTTTTCATGTACCACACTATTTCAAATGTATGTATTGTATATGGGCCAGTGGCCTTGGTACAAATAAAGACTTCTTCTACTTGATTCAGTATATCATATCTGTTCATTAATATCCCAGTCAATGGTACCCTAACTATTAAGCACTGGTCAGTGACATCACATTAACCCTCAAAAGTAATTGCATACCCACAGAAGGGACAGGGGAATTATTTCATCTTACAATTCAGATCATTCAAGGGAAGAAAAACCATCCAGGTGGCTTCTTCCTCAATTTTGAGCTGGTCAGTGGTTTCACCAGACCAACCAGGTCATGTGCACAGTGCACACTTTTAATGCAGATGTCAAGAGAATCAATTGAGCACAGGTATCAGAAGCTATTAAGGATCAGAGTGAATAACACCATATCAAATCAGCCACCCTTGTCAGTTATGTCCTTATGTATAACTTGTGACTCCTCTAATATACCGTGTGATGTTACATTTCTTCTACACTGTGTAACGTGTAACTTCCAATATATGCTGTGATTTTACACTTCTTATAAGTATGTAACGTCAATATACCTCTTGATGTTACACTTCTTATAAGTGCGTAATGTGTCACTTCCAAAATACCTCTTGATGTTACACTTCTTCTACACTGTGTAACGTGTCACCTCCAATATACCGTGTGATGTTACACCTCTTCTACACTGTGTAACGTGTCACCTCCGATACATCCTTTGATGTTACAACTCTTCTACACTGTGTAACGTTTCACCTCCGATATATACTGTGAGGTTACACCTCTTCTACACTGTGTAACGTGTCACCTCCGATATATACTGTGAGGTTACACCTCTTCTACACTGTGTAACGTGTCACCTCCAGTATACCCTCTGAGGTAACACCTCTTCTACACTGTGTAACGTGTCACCTACAATATTCCGTGTGAGGTTACACCTCTTCTGCAGTGTGTAAAGTGTCACCTCCAATATACCCTGTGAGGTTACACCTCTTCTACACTGTGTAACGTGTCACCTCCAATATACCTTGTGATGTTACACTTCTTCTACACTGTGTAACGTGACGCCTTCAAAATAACTCTGGATGTTACACTTCTTCTACACTGTGTAACGTGTCAACCCCAATATACCGTGTGAGGTTACACCTCTTTTACAGTGTGTAACTTGACACCTCCAATATTCCCTGTGATGTTACACTTCTTATGAATGTGTAACGTGACGCCTCCAATATACCCTGTGATGTCACACCTCTTCTACAGTGTGTAACGTGTCACCTCAAACATACTTTGTGATATTATTTTTCTTCTAAACTGTGTAAAGTGACGCCTTCAATTATACCTCTTGATGTTACACCTCTTATATACTGTATAACGTGACACATCCAATATACTTTGTGATATTACATTTCTTATAACTGTGTAACGTGACGCCTTCAATATACCCTATGTTGAACATCTAATATACTGGTAATGTGAAACCTGATATATACCTTGTGATGTTGAACATCTAATATACTGGGTAATGTGAAACCCGATTCATGCCTTATGATGTTGACCATCTTATATGCTGGGTAATGTGAAACCTGATTTATACCTTATGATGTTGAACATCCAGTATACTGGGTAATGTGAAACCTGATTAATACCTTATGATGTTGAACATCTAAAATACTGGGTAATGTGAAACCTGATTTATACCTTGTGATGTTGAACATCCAGTATACTGGGTAATGTGGAACCTGATTAATACCTTGTGATGTTGAACATCTAATATACTGGGTAATGTGAAACCTGATTTATACCTTGTGATGTTGAACATCTAATATCCTGGGTAATGTGAAATCTCAGTCATACCTTGTGATGTTGAATATCTAATATCCTGGGTAATGTGAAATCTGATTGATACCTTGTGATGTTGAACATCTAATATACTGGGTAATGTGAAACCTGATTTATACCTTGTGATGTTGAACATCTAACATACTGGGTAATGTGAAACCTGATTCATACCTTGTGATGTTGAGGATCTAATATACTGGGTAATGTGAAACCTGATTCATACCTTGTGATGTTGAACATCTAATAATCAGGATAATGTGAAACCTGATTTATACCTTGTTATGTTGAACATCTAATATACTGGGTAATGTGAAACCTGATTTATACCTTGTGATGTTGAATATCTAATATCCTGGGTAATGTGAAATCTCATTCATACCTTGTGATGTTGAACATCTAATATACTGGGTAATGTGAAACCTGATTTATACCTTGTGATGTTGAACATCTAATATACTGGGTGATGTGAAATCTGATTTATACCTTGTGATGTTGAACATCTAATATACTGGGTAATGTGAAATCTGATTGATACCTTGTGATGTTGAACATCTAACATACTGGGTAATGTGAAACCTGATTTATACCTTGTGATGTTGAGGATCTAATATACTGGGTAATGTGAAACCTGATTCATACCTTGTGATGTTGAACATCTAATAATCAGGATAATGTGAAACCTGATTTATACCTTGTGATGTTGAGGATCTAATATACTGGGTAATGTGAAACCTTATTTATACCTTGTGACGTTGAACAACTTATATACTGGACAATGTGAAACCTGATTTATACCTTATGATGTTGAACACCTGATATACTGGGAAATGTGAAACGTCATTTATACCTTGTGAGTGAGTGAGTGAGTTGGGTTTAACTCCGCTTTTAACAGTATTCCAGGTATATCACGGCGTGTCAGCTTAATGTGGGAGGAAAGCCCGAAGTGATGCAGGTCTCAGACGTTTACCACTTCGGTGAAACCCACGAGCACGGGTATGGTGCTGACAAACCTGGAAACATAATCGGGGCGAACCGGGATTCGAAACCACAGTCATAGGTTTCTGGCGTGCCCAGGGACGCAACTCTGCACAGCGAATCGCGGCGCCTTAGACGACTGGGCCACCCTTGCCCCCTTCCTATGAAGCTTAATTGGTATAAAATAACTGAACGTTTGACTTTTTATTTACAGAAACATGACCCTGCTGACCCTGATGTACCTTTCAAAGATGCTCACGACCTGTTGCTTCACACAGAGCACTGTCAAGCAGATAAAGGAAAACATGAAATCCTATGCCAAGGGCTATGTTATCCAATACTATGTGCCTTATGTTAACACACAACCTGATGAGCATAAAATGAAGCTCTTGAAACACCTAGAGGACAACCTGCTACTAATTACCAGTACGGAGGACAAGGAGATCGATGGGATGGACACACTGGTAAAGAGAAGAAGTAAAGTTTCCACAGACGTTGAAGATAATCTTGGTCCTAAAATCAGAAGTTTGTCTGCAAAGGTTGACAGTAACGATGGCTTGCTTGTCTCCAATCCACAGAATTTGATGAGGGCAGTTTCCCGAGATGTAGAGGACAGTCTGGAACATAAGATCAGAAGTTTGTCTGCAAAGGTTGACAGTAACGATGGCTTGCTTGTCTCCAATCCTCAGAATTTGATGAAGGCAGTTTCAAGAGATGTAGAGAACAGTCTCATAGACGTCATTGAAGCGATCATCGATCAGCTACACAAAAATATGACTGGCGATGCCCAACTGTATAATGTTTTGAAAGAAGCATTGTTATCATGGTTTCAATACCATGCTGAACACGATAATATGCAACTTCACAACCTTGACTTGGAGAATCTGATTAATTGGCTGACACTTGTGCACAACTCACGGAGAAACGTCAGCAAAGAAGAGGAATCCTTTTACACACACTGGAACACATCCCTGCCTATCTTGAGAGATACTTTGTTGTTCGCCGATACCGTCAAACCATTGTCAACATACGTATCCCTTTCTCTGATGGGCTTGACAGATAGCTTCATGAATCTTTACTGGCCTTTCCGTCGTGACATCAACCTAATGAACCAAAGATTAGCAGTCAAGGGTTTCAAGGGCACAGACGTGAGTGAAAGTGATGCTAAGAAAGCGTTCTTTGGCGAAATCAGAAAAATTCAGCCGATTCATCTCCCTGTGAAGAAAAATGAAATTGTACTCATCTTTGATGATGAGGACATAGCAGATTGGTTGAACGTCACAGGAGTTATGTCCCTTTCACCAGCCTACATGGCTTCTAAGAAACACATATTCACTGGGGAAGAGCAAAAGAGGATATCGACCACTGCACATGCCGCTCTCAGGATGATCAACAACACTCATCCTGAACTCTTTGACGCAATGACACAGATGATATCCTGCATTGCTTTCTACAAACAAGAACACAAGGTTAACTTAGCTGGAGGAGTTCGCTCTGCCCTTGGTTTGTTCTGGATGGACCCGAGTGTTGGGAGAGAATGGAGCGTTCCCTTCATGGCGGAGCAAATAGTCCACGAGTACACCCACAACTCACTCAACTATGCAGAATTTGTCCATGGAACCTACAACGATAAATCCACTTTGGGAAAGGCTGAGGTGAAATCGGCCATTCGTCTGGTTCCTCGTCCCTACGACAAATCCCTGCATGCAGCTTACGTGTCGGCGGGACTTGTAACCTTTCATTCCAGGACTGGCTATCTGGAAAGAGCTGCACAGCTGGTGGAAACTCTTCCCCAAGCCGTGCGTGATCTGGCAACTGTGGAGGCAGAGAAGCATGTGCTGGATGGGTCGGGCAGGGCAATAGTCAAGTTCCTCACTGACTACATGTACCTCACAAGACTCTGAATGTTCCATGCTGATTTTATATAAACTTTTTCAATAAACGGTTGCCAACTATAACAGTTTTTACATTGATGTGCTTTTTGTGCAAGACAATTCAGATGTCAGAAGGTGTTCTCACATCCACACTGAACACGAACACGTTTTACTAAATGTCTGCTGTCCACTAGATATCTTGTCAATCGATGGCGATTAGATGATACTTGATTGAGTATATCATATCTGTTCATTAATATCCCAGTCAATGGTACCCTAACTATTAAGCACTGGTCAGTGACATCACATTAACCCTCAAAAGTAATTACATACCGACAGATGGGACAGGGGAATTATTTCATCTTACAATTCAGATCCTTCAAGGGAAGAAAAGCCAGCCAGGTGGCTTCTTCCTCAATTTTGAGCTGGTCAGTGGTTTCACCAGGCCAACCAGGTAATGTGCACAGTGCACAATGCACATGTTAAGAGAATCAGTTGAGCACCGGTATCAGAAGCTATTAAGGATCAGAGTGAATAACACCACATCAAATAAGCCACCCTTGTCAGTTATTACCTTATATATAACTTGTGTCACCTCCAATATACCCTGTGATGTTACACCTCTCCTACACTGTGTAACCTGACGCCTCAGTCGTCTAGAGTGCGGCGATTCGCTGTGCAGAGTTGCGTCCCTTGGGCACGCCAGAAACCTATGATTGTGTGTTCGAATCCCGGTTCGCCCCGATTATGTTTCTAGGTTTGTCAGCACCATACCCGTGCTCGTGGGTTTCAACGAACTGGTAAACGTCTAATACCTGCATCACTTCGGGCTTTCCTCCCACATTAAGCTAAGACGCCGCGATATAACTGGAACAATGTTAAAAGCGGCGTTAAACCAAACTCACTCACTCACTCTTCATGTTCCACATCTTATATACTGTGTAACGTGAAACCTCCAATATACTCTGTGATGTTCCACCTCTTATAACTGTGTAACGTGACACCTCCAATATACTCTGTGATGTTCCACCTCTTATAATTGTGTAACGTGACACCTCCTATATACCCTGTGATGTTCCACCTCTTATAACTGTGTAACGTGACACCTCCAATATACCCTGTGATGTTCCACCTCTTATAACTGTGTAACGTGACACCTCCAATATACCCTGTGATGTTCCACCTCTTATAACTGTGTAACGTGACACCTCCAATATACCCTGTGATGTTCCACCTCTTATAACTGTGTAACGTGAAACTTCCAATATACCCTGTGATGTTCCACCTCTTACAACTGTGTAACGTGAAACCTCCAATATACTCTGTGATGTTCCACCTCTTATAACTGTGTAACGTGACACCCCCAATATACCCTGTGATATTCCACCTCTTATAACTGTGTAACGTGACACCTCCAATATACCCCGTGATGTTCCACCTCTTACAACTGTGTAACGTGACACCTCCAATATACCCCGTGATGTTCCACCTCTTATAACTGTATAAGGTGTTACCTCCAATATACCCTGTGATGTTCTACATCTTATAACTGTGTAACGTGACACCTCCAATATACTCTGTGATGTTCCACCTCTTATAACTGTGTAACGTGACACCTCCAATATACCCTGTGATATTCCACCTCTTATAACTGTGTAACGTGACACCTCCAATATACCCTGTGATGTTCCACCTCTTATAACTGTGTAACGTGACCCCTCCAATATACCCTGTAAAGTTCCACCTCTTTTATACTGTGTAAAGTGACACCTCCAATGTACTGGATAAAGATACACCTCGAATGTTTTTGAACACCTTACACCTCAAACACGATAGATAATCGACGCCTTCAATAAACTTGGTACGGTTCAACCGCCAAAATATCTGGTAACTTTCAAAAGTTAGTGTATTGTGTAATGCAGAACCTCCAAAACAACTTGTTACGTTACACCTCCAATACCGCGTAATCGTACACCTCGAAAACGCTAAGAAACGTTACACCTTCTCTATACCAGGTAATCTTACACCTCGAACACGCTAAATAACGTTACACCTTCACTACACAACGTAATCTTACACCGCGAACACGCTAAATAACGTTACACCTTCACTATGCCAGGTAATCTTACACCTCGAACACGCTAAGTAACGTTACACCTTCACTTTACCAGGTAATCTTACACCTCGAACACGCTATGTAACGTTACACCTTCACTATGCCAGGTAATCTTAAACCTCGAACACGATAAGTAACGTTACACCTTCACTTTACCAGGTAATCTTACACCTCGAACACGCTAAGAAAACGTTACTCCTTCACTATGCCAGGTAATCTTACACCTCGAAAACGCTAAGTAACGTTACTCCTTCACTACACAACATAATCTTACACCTCGAACGCGCTAAGTAACGTTACACCTTCTCTTTGCCAGGTTATCTTACATCTCGAACACGCTAAGTAACGTTACACCTTCACTATGCCAGGTTATCTTACACCTCGAACACGCTAAGTAACGTTACACCTTCACTATGCCAGGTAAGCTTACACCTCGAACACGCTAAGTGACGTTACACCTTCACTATGCCAGGTTATCTTACACCTCGAACACGCTAAGTAACGTTACACCTTCACTATGCCAGGTAATCTTACACCTCGAACACGCTAAGTGACGTTACACCTTCACTTTGCCAGGTTATCTTACACCTCGAACACGCTAAGTAACGTTACACCTTCACTATGCAAGGTAATCTTACACCTCGAAAATGCTAAGTAACGTTACTCTTTCACTATGCCAGGAAATCTTACACCTCGAACACTCTAAGAGACGTTACACCTTCACCATGCCAGGAAATCTTACACCTCGAACATTCTAAGTAACGTTACACCTTCACTATGCCAGGTAATCTTAAACCTCGAACACGCCAAATGACGTTACACCTTCACTATGCCAGGTAATCTTACACCTCGAACAAGCTAAGTAACGTTACACCTTCACTATGCCAGGTAATCTTACACCTCGAACACGCTAAGTTACGTTACACCTTCACTATGCCAGGTAATCTTACACCTCGACAACGCTAAGTAACGTTACACCTTCACTATGCCAGGTAATCTTAAACCTCGAACACGCTTAGTGACGTTACACCTTCACCATGCCAGGAAATCTTACACCTCGAACATTCTAAGTAACGTTACACCTTCACTATGCCAGGTAATCTTACACCTCGAACACGCCAAATGACGTTACACCTTCACTATGCCAGGTAATCTTACACCTCGAACACGCTAAGTAACGTTACACCTTCACTATGCCAGGTAATCTTACACCTCGAACACGCTAAGTAACCTTACTCATTCACTATGCCAGGTAATCTTACACCTCGAACATTCTAAGTAACGTTACACCTTCACTATGCCAGGTAATCTTACACTTCGAACACGCTAGGTAACGTTACACCTTCACTATGCCAGGTAATCTTACACCCCGAACACGCTAAGTAACGTTACACCTTCTCTATGCCAGGTAATCTTACACCTCGAACACGTTGAGTAGTAACAGCGACGGGTATCAACATAATCTAGCTACTCTTATCAAATGGTGTTGATGTCGACGTCATTGACATGAAAACAACCCACGAAGACTTGAACTTCTATAAAATCCTATATCCTTTAATTGATAAAAGAGTTTTAAGTTTCATAATTAAGTTATTGTTTCAGAACACCTCGAAAATAGTATTAGTTAGCATGCCGATTATTGATATACACAAAAAAGAAACATTTGTGTTCTGGGTAGTTTAGGTAGGTCAAGGTTTTATTTCCTTCAAATCGTGCATTATAACACAAAGTCATTTGGAACGTCTTTCTCTTGTACAACATTTGGATCAACAGTCTATATGATTGTCATTGTTTCTCTATCACGTCACCACTGAATGTTTAATGCTGAATAGTGTGTTGTACAAATATTTCCGTTCGTTCATTTTCCGAAATTGTCTATTAATTCAATCAATCAATGTTAACCTTTTCCATAATCATATAAAATCTCACCAAAAAGTCCATTTGTCTCTTGAATAGTGACGGTAATCAGATGAAGGCTAAAATGTGAGCGAATCCATCAGTAGCACCAATCACAAAAACATGCAATCCCCACATGCTAAGTGTGTGCATGTTTGACCCCATCGTCTGATACGGTGCAATTCGCTGTGCCAGATCGTAGCTTCACATACCTGGTCACAGTTGTCGGGCCTAGTTCTCTTAGTCGCCGATGTTTTCTTGCAGAGTTGCGCCCCTTAGGCTTGAGTGGGAACCTATGATCGTGGGTTCGAACTCGAGGTTCGCCAGATTATGTTTCTTGGTTTGTCAGCACCATACCCGTACTCGTATCTTTAGAAGTGGGTCGCCACGTTCCACCAGAGAAGAGACTGGTTTAATTCTGCCCCAAATGAAGTTCATGCATTGAAAATGAAATTATTTTTTCACGTGCACTGGCTGTTTTATGAGGGCGAATGTCGTGAATTGACTGTAAGAGCAACAATGCACGACATGACACACAACCAACCGGAACATACAATGTAACCATCCTCACCATACATATGCAGGTTTGGTTATGTTACTCGCGACGCACGCTTTCACCATGTTGAAGAATCATCCTCAGCATCCTCATCCTCAGCCACACACAAGTGCATGCTACGCGACGTTCAACCCTATTTCCAAACCCTCCCCTGCCTCCCCCCCCCCCCCCCCCCCCACCTCACCTCCCTGATACGCCCTGACATAACAGATTAACAGTTCAAGCCGAACTCAACATCACTGAAAACATCTGCCAGTTTACATTTAATATAAGATTACATCAGAGACATGCCACTGCTTTATTATCTTATCTGTTTCAAAATAACAGTAACAAAACTCTTTAAATGGTGTATTCGCTGTTTACTCATTGGAACGAGGTGAGAATAACACATCTGGTGCTGACAAAAAGGATCTATTGCGTTGTTTTCATTCTTCTAGACAGTATAAATATGACTTGTGATAGGTGTCCTTCATACTACACTCAAACTCCTATTCAACTACACACGTCACCAGACCAGGTAAGTTGTGACCATTTTCTACTCCAGTGGCTATGCATCCAGAACATGTGATCGCTGGTTACAATTTCAGATTTTCAGATGTGTTTTGGTTTGGCAGCACCATAAACAAGCTCCTGATTTCACCAAAGTGGTAATGGTGTAAAACCTACATGTATTACTTCTGGATTTCCTTCAACATGAAACTAACACCCGTGATATATTTGAAATATTGTTCAAAGCACGTTAAACCAAACCCACCTACTTACTCACTCACTTAATCACTGGGTACAGCTTGATCATGAGATGAAAAACTTGTGGATTCGAGGGGTATGGGGCTGATCTCCCTCTCTTAATGCATCCGGGCGGTCGGGTAGCCTAGTGGTTAAAGCGTTCGCTCGTCACGCCGAAGACCCGGGTTCGATTCCCGACATGGGTACAATGTGTGAAGCCCATTTCTGGTGACCCCCGCCGTGATATTGCTGGAATATTGCTAAAAGCGGCGTAAAACCAAACTCACTCACTCACTCTTAATGCATCCATCGTATTAGGATAGAAATTGTGGTGTGAGTCGAAATCCTAGGACCGGGAAGTTGTGATGACTGAGCTAGCAGACGGTGTCATCGTAAACCACAGTGTGGATTGTTGTTCATGCGTTCAAACACTCACTGAGTTGGGCTAATTCAATTATTTGGAGGCCGCCGGGGTATTGCTTTGAAGTAATATACACTCACGCCCAAAAGAAATTTTACCAGAGTTTAAAATCATTCTTGCTCCAAAACAACAAAACATACATGCATGAAGTAAAGTGTATTGAGACCATCAATCTATCAACATAATCAACACTGAAAATGACAATCATACCGCCACCGAGAATGACGTAAGAGCCCCCCACAGTTGGGTGTGGTGCAAGACTCGAGCTTTCAGAATCATGGACAATAGGCAGAGTACATTGTTGTCTTCCATCAGCCCTAAACATACAGAATCGACTTTCGTCAGTGAAGACAACCCTCTGCCAGTCATGTCGTTGCCAACGTCGTACAGTCCGGGCCCATCTCAATCGCAGACGACGATGTTGCGCTGTCAATAGCTGTCCTCTATGTGGTCTAAAAGCCCTGATTCCATGAGCCCTGAGTCTCCTGGCCACTGTCTGTCGACTAACCCTGTGACCTAAGGCATTTGTCGCCGATGACGTCACTGTCAGGAAGCGATTTCGGAGGTGCAAGGTACGCAAGAACCGGTCATCATGGGGCGTGGTCACCCTGGGTCTGCCTGTCCTTGGCCTGTCAGCTGTCCGCCCTGTCTGTCTGTAACGTTGCATCAAGTTGGTAACGGCAACACGGGAGCAACCGAAGGTTCGTGCAATATGGGCGTGGGTTGCTCCCATCTGTACCATACCCAAGGCTCATTCACGTTGTTCGACTGTGAGTCGTGGCATTTCTTTTGTGTTTTTCATCACTGTGGATGTCTGACTTGCCGTTGCAATCGTTTTATACCCTTACCCGCACGTACATTTGCAGTTGTCCGTGGTGCACGTGTTTTTCACATTTTCGCGTGTTATCTCGCAAACAGGTAACAGACGATTAACATTTTCTGCATACATTATTGTTTTATTTAGGTACTTTAGATAGACTTCATCGAAAAAAAATGTATACTTTGTCTGAAATTTATATTTTCAGTTGGTAAAGTTCCTTTTGGACGTCAGTTTATTTCTTCTCTTCATTTCCAATACTGGACTGTGCATCTAATTTACAACCGTGGTTTCAGCGATCCAATTATATAATTTTCACCGCTATGTTGCCTTTTACCCCCAATGGAATCTGTTCCGTCGAGACTTGAGACTGGTTTTTCGCTAACGTTGACGTTTTATATGTGTTTGCTATTTGGCATTCACGTTCGTATTAACCAAGGTGAAGACCTTGATATAGAACATGAAACCTATTGAACATTGGTGTCAAATGCTAGTATCCACACATATTATCTCCACATGGTCTCCACACCTTCAATTGAATATCATGGTTATAACAGTATCTGTCGTCCGCCCTGATGTGAAGACATGGCGTTAAACTGTGTAAGGATGGGATTTTGATTTCTCGATGATTTTATCTTACTTCAAAATAGGAAAAGGAGGGGACATATGTATATATTGTTCTTTTCGCACTCATTGACAAACGTGCAAAACTACTCTTTACTATACAGGATCATCACTCACGTATCGAACAGTTTGGATAAAAGTATTATTAGCTCTAGCATTTTACCTTTTTATTTATTTGACCATCAACCACACTTCATCTGGACAAAGTCATCATTATTTCCAATGTTTGAGCAAATGCATCAAAACGTATTTCCCGAACGTCTTTCATGTGAAATATTACACAGCGTTTTCGCGTTTGATTTTACTCCTTCGTCTATGATTTATGTGCCTATTTAAAATATAGACATTGTCATCTATAAAATTTGGTTCTTGTGTGTACCAAATCTAAATGCACATCAAAGGTAAACATGAAAGAGGTGGATATGCCATTCTAAAATATGTAAATTAAGTGATTGCTGCATATGTACCAAAAAATACCTGTATTGTTTCATAGGCATTTCTTTAAAGTTGACGGATGACAAAGTAGACACAGTTTATGGATAACAACTTCTTTATTTTACTGTAATAACGACGTTTTAGTATAGATCTTTATACCGTTGTTATAACATAACATATATGACCAATGATATATTTGGGATAACATTTTCTGAGTAAAGTACCTCGGTTGCTGAGTGGGTAGATCGCAGACTTTGTGTGCTGGCGAGTAGTACGTAGGTGTCTTACTCTGGCAGTGTGGGTTCGAATCCCCCCAAAAGTACGATACGAGAATCTGTACTTTACTCAGAAAGTGTTTTCCCAAATATAACATTCGTTATATTTGACCACTTTCTAAATGACATTGTGTGTTTATGGTACAGAATATATATGGTTAGTGGAGGAGTAAGAGTAACAACAATTGCATTAATGAGAGAGATTAACATGAGTAGGTAAAATAATAACAGCAGAAGCATAATACTGTAACAACAAGAGGGACAGAAAAAACACATGATGAGGTAGCCAATAAGACAGGAAGTCAATAAAACAGGATTAAGCATACATAGGTAGGGTGATTATTGCTTAATGAGTTCATAGAAGGCGGATGAAATGGCCTTGATCTCTGTTGATTGATGATTTTGTGGCGGCGAATGTGGACTGTTAGTTTAGTTCTTTCAGTGAAGTCACGGAGCAGGGGAGAGAGGATTTTTATGTTTTGCCAGTTCATGTTGTGATAAAAGCAGTTGCTGATATGGTTGGAGATGGCTGATTTACTGCCTGATTTGATGATTGAAGTTTTGTGCTCTTTGAATCTGGTGTTGACGAGGCGGGATGTCCCACCTCCATAGGATTTTCCACAGTTATAGTCAATTTTATAAATTACACCTGTAGGTTTTTGTAGTTTGTTGTGTTTCTGCCTTTGGCAGTAGGGTATTGGGGGAGGTGGATCCGGTGAAGAAGGTGTCAATATTGGCTTGGGGTTTGATGACATGGCTTTTCCTATGAATGGAAAGGCGATGTGGAAGGGCGCTGATTCAGGTTTGGAGGTGGTAGATCTGGGTGTGGGACGATGTACAGAGATAATGACTTTGTCGATGAGTTTAGAGTGGATAAGTGTTGACGTGTGTGAAGTCTTGACGGAGATGTTTGATCTCAGGTTTGGTGTTAGCAGGGGAAAGGTTGATGGGTCGTTTGTTGAGAACAGAGATGGTGCCAATCTAGTCTTAAGGGGATTTTGAGGTTGAAGTGGATGTACTGATCAGATTGGGAAGGCTTTCGGTAGACACTGGTTTGGATTCTGGAGACAAGGAAGGGTTGTTGGTTATTCCTTTCTGTTTCCGTGGTGAACTGTACTCAAGGGGGTTGTTGTTTTAGATGTTGTATTAGTAGGTTTTGGTCTTGGTCTTGTTGTAGTATGACAAAAGTGTCGTCGACCTTTCTGTACCAGCAAATGGGATCATTAATAAACAGTGTGACATATAAGAAAGGCACGTGATCGACTACCAAGATTGGAATAAAAGGTTAATCAGTTTTATCTAATTAATCCAACAATATCTTTAATCAAATCGTTTTGCTTATTTTTAAGATAATTTAATCATAATTCATATATGATAACAAATACTCCTTCCATTGTTTACATTTTCTTGTGTTCATGCAGGATGTGTGAAAATGTGAAAGAGCAGTTTGCAATAAATCTCCTATGAAGCCACAATGATCTAAAAAACTGAACTATGGACTTTTTATTTACAGAAACATGACCCTGCTGACCCTGATGTACCTCTCCATGATGCTCACGACCTGTTGCTTCACACAGAGCACTGTCAAGCAGATAAAGGAAAACATGAAATCTTATGCCAAGGGCTATGTTATCCAATACTATGTGCCTTATGTTAAAACACAACCTGATGAGGATAAAATGAAGCTCTTGAAACATCTAGACGAAAACCTGCTACTTATTACCGGTACGGAGAACAAGGAGGTGGTCGATCGGAAAGACACACTGGCAAAGAGTAGAAATATAGTTTCTAGAGATGTAGAAGATATAATTGGAAAAAAAATCAGAAGTTTGTCTGCTAAGGTTGAAAGTAACGATGGATTGCTTGTCGATATAAAGAATCAGATGAAGTCAGTTTCTAGAGATGTGGAGGAAAGTCTGGAAGATAAGGTCAGACGTTTGTCTGACAAGGCTGACAATGACGGTCTCATGATTATAATACAGAATCTGATGAAGGCAGTTTCCAGAGATGTGGAGGAAAGTCTGGAAGATAAGGTCAGACGTTTGTCCGACAAGGCTGACAATGACGGTCTCATGAGTATCACAAAGGATCTGATGAAGGCAGTTTCCAGAGATGTGGAGGAAAGTCTGGAAGATAAGGTCAGACGTTTGTCTGACAAGGCTGACAATGACGGTCTCATGATTATAATACAGGATCTGATGAAGGCAGTTTCCAGAGATGTGGAGGAAAGTCTGGAAGATAAGGTCAGACGTTTGTCTGACAAGGCTGACAATGACGGTCTCATGATTATAATACAGAATCTGATGAAGGCAGTTTCCAGAGATGTGGAGGAAAGTCTCAGAAACGCCACTGAAGCGATCGACGGTCAACTACACAAAGATATATCTGATGATGCTCAACTATATACTTTGCTGAAAGAAACATTGTTGCCATGGCTTCGATATAATGATGAACACGATAATATACAACTTCACAACCTTGACTTGGATAATCTGATTAATTGGCTGACACTGGTGCACAACTCAAGGAGAAACATCAGCACAAAAGAGGAATCCTTTTACCAACATTGGAACACATCCCTGCCTATCTTGAGTGATACTTTCTTGTTCGCTGATACCATCAAACCACTGTCAACATACGTATCCCTTTCTCTGATGGGCTTGACAGATCGCTTCATGAATCTCTACTGGCCTTTCCGTCGTGACATCAACCTAATGCACCAAAGATTAGCAGTCAAGGGTTTCAGGGGCACAAGCGTGTCTGACAGTGATGTCAAGGAAGCATTCTTTGATGACTTCAGAAAAGTTCAACCAATTCATCTCCCTGTAAAGAAGAATGAGATTGTTCTTGTCTTTAATGATGAGGACATAGCGGATTGGTTGAATGTCACAGGAGTTTTGTCCCTTTCACCATCCTACATGGCTTCTAAGAAACACATATTCACTGGGGAAGAGCAATGGAGGATATCAACCACTGCACATGCCGCTCTCAGGATGATCAACAACACTCATCCTGAACTCTTTGACGCAATGACACAGATGATAGCCTGCATTTCATTCTATAAACAAGAACACAAAGTAAACATAGCTGGAGGATCTCGTGCTGCCCTTGGCATGCTCTGGATGGACCCTAGTGTTGGGAGAAAATGGAGCGTTCCCTTCATGGCTGAGCAAATAGTCCACGAGTACACCCACAACGTACTCAACTATGCAGAATTTGTCCATGGAACCTACAACGATAAATCCACTTTGGGAAAGGCTGAGGTGAAATCGGCCATTCGTCTGGTTCCTCGTCCCTACGACAAATCCCTGCATGCAGCTTACGTGTCGGCGGGACTGGTAACCTTTCATTCCAGAACTGGCTATCTGGAAAGAGCTGCACAACTGGTTGAAACTCTTCCCCAAGCAGTGCGTGATCTGGCAACTGTTGAGGCAGACAAGCATGTGCTTGATGGGTCCGGCAGGGCAATAGTCAAGTTCCTCACTGACTACATGTACCTCACAAGACTCTGAATGTTTCATCCTGGTTTCAGAGTCACTTATTCAATAAACGGTTGGAAACTGTAATTTTACATTTTTGTGATTTGTATGCAAGACCATTTCAGACGTCTGATGGTGTTTTGTTCTCACATCCACACTGTAACCAGGAAATGAAACTTTTCACTAGATATCTTGTTCCCTATATGCTGTCCGTTTACTAGATGATACTTGATTCGGTATATCATAGCTGTTCATTATTATGCCAGCCAATGGTAGCTTTTTCTACTTTTTCTACTTATTATGTTCTGGTCAGTGCAATCATATTTACGATATTTATGCTTATTAAATGCCAACAGATGGCAATTCCGTCTTGATATTCAGTTCCTCCAAGGCAAGTATAACCAGGTAGCGACTCTCTTAATTATGAACTGACCGGTGGTTTTACAGTATCTCAACACAAAGACCAATAAAATTAAACCTTCAATATACTGAATAACGATAAGCCTCCAATACTCTAGGTAACCCTAAATACAGCAGGTAATGTTACATCTAGAATACATAGGAGCATGTTACTCACCATTATATTACATCACGATTACATTACGTCACCCTATATGCATAATTGAAACGACCCATGAAGATCCGGGGCTCAAAAGGTCTTCAGCAACCCATGCTTGCCGTAAAAGGCTTGCTGACTTGGTTGATGCATGTCACCGTATCCCAATTGCGTGGATCGATGCTCATAATTTCAATGACAGGATTGTCTGGTCCAGACCCGATTATTTACAGATCACCGTCATATAGCCGGAATATTGCTGATTGCGGCATTATACAACAAACAAAAAATCAAACAAACATGATTTCAATCACTGGATTGTCTGGTCCAGACTCGTTTATTTACAGACGACCGTCATATAGCTCAAATATTGACGAGTGTGGCGTTAAACAACAAACAAAGAAACAACATAACTGAAACAGTTTTCAAACCCTAACCCTTAAATGAAAAACATGAAAAACATGACAAACATGATCACACTACTTTTGTGAATATATTGCTTTTCTTGGTGCATGGTCAGTGTGCCTCGAACCTGTCGGTCACTATCAGTGACCACGTCATCGGTGTCAGCACAACACGTCCTATATCCTGCACATTGGTCTACCCCGTAACATCCACAACTTTATTTGACCCGACGTCATGCAATTATACACACATTTGTTTTGATAAGGATATATGAACGAGACATTGTTTACTTAATATACATATCCACATGTTCACAAATCTGAAATAATTCTTTTTTTATCTGACTACTCGGTCTCATACTTTAAATGATTTGTTTTTATCTTCCCCGCCGAACGATAATTAATGAGTTCACATAAATAAGCAATATCATAATTTTTTCCTGCAATTTCGTAAAAAAGGAACGAAAAAACGAGGTTAATCAATATTGATCAATTATCTGATACGCAATTAAATCCATGGCCTCAAATATTTCCGACGCTGATAAATTTGTAATTCACTCAATCACTGAAGTGTATACGGGTACAATCTCAAACCCAGTGTGATACTCACACCAACACTGCATGCTCGTTAATATTCCCTTGAGAGTTAGCTCACATGTGGAGACTTCCTTAGAATATAAAATGTACATCTTACGTCAACAATGACAATCAAATGATAGTGATTCATAACCACGTGTTTATGACATAGTCGGAACTGTACAATGGTCTCTTAGGAGACTTGTTATGATTATGGAATATTTTGTGTCGATTTTATTGGGAATGTAGAATCATTACTTTAAGTGTGTTTTGCATGGAGTTTAAACTATCCTTTTTGTTGAACCATATTAATGACAAATCACATATACACATGCATAAATGACTTCCTTGTTGGACTGGATTGTATGATATGAGCCAATCACATCCCTGATTTGTTATCATCATTTGTAGTTAGTAGATTTGTGGATTGCTCGACATACCCATGTATTACAATTGTTTGTAGATTTGTAGATTTATCCATGTTTTACAATTGTTCGGAGCTTCCGACTCCAGCTAAAAGGTTCTTACTCCAATGAACTCACACTAAGTAAAAAAGACATTCTTACATATCACCCGTGCAAAATAGAGTGGCCTTTACAAAATATATCAACGGAGATGACACCAATGCGTTTCTTTTAAAGCCCTTTACATAACTTGTAAGGACGGGTATGGTGCTCTCGGACCAAAGGTCGGGTCAAATGTAGAGTTTTGAATCCGTGATCAACGGATCCTGATGGAGCAAAGGAAAGAAACTCACGGACTTTCATTATGTTGTTTCAAACCATGGTCGCGATCTTGATACCATTTAAACATGTGTTTCAGATATGTACAAACATTCTTCATAAGGCTTCCACACTTTCAGAAAGTTTCTGTGGTGTACTGGATAGAGGGTCGACTCAGAGTGCGGAAGGCCGTTGGATCGATCCTCACTCGCGTCATACCCAAAAATGGTACTTGTTAACCTGCTGTAATGCCAAGCTTTAAGGGGATAAAACAAGGACTTGTTGGCTCGTAGTCAGTACACTGTGTGTGAGTGGGGTATTCATGTTATACATCAGCATGGTAACTCAGTGGGCTATCATTGTAAAACCGGCATTCGTCCTGACTAGTACAAGCAGTCACACATAGACACAGACAGACAGACGCATGCACGTATATACATAAGTAAGTTGCTTCATAAGTACAATACTCGTAAAAGGCAACGTTAAACCCCATTTCACCTCCACACCTTGTAATGTAGGTGAAATAGTGTCTGCCGCCTGCCGTGATGTGACTGAAAACCCACTTCTTCACTCTGTAATGATGGCATCATATCCGTATTCTGCAAGTGTGTAACATTTCAAATCTCTCTGATTTTTTTTCTTTCAAATTGAAATATAGGCCATATATATGTATTCTATTAAGCTTGGCGCACTCATTAACAAACAAGAAAAATCACATTTTGCTAAAGAGGCATATAAAGTAAAAGTCTGCAATAACGCATAACATATAACCAAGCCCTTGGACGATTGCAAACTGGACAAACCGCCCGGCAAGTAGCCAATGCATTTCAAGTCCACGTGAGGATCATATACAGGCTCCAGCAACCGTACCAGACCACCAACACTACAGATGACCGACCGATCGTAGAGGAAGACCAAGTGTCACCACTCAACGTCATGATCGTCAGATTGTGCGACAGCATCTTTAAGATCGCTTTGTTACTGCTGCGGAAACTGCTTGACAGACCAAGGCGACACACCAGCGACACATTAGTTCGGACACCGTGCGTCGACGATTGACGAGCATACACCTCCACTGTCACAGACCACACCGAAGACCTATTCTGACACCACGTCATCGGAACTTCAGTGGGCAATACAGCACCAGCATTGGCACCACCGGCAGTGGAGAAGAGTCCTCTTGTTGGACGAGAACCGTTACTGTATCTCAACAGCAGATGGCAGAGAGAGGGTCTGGAGACGCCGAAGGGAACTTTTTCGGATGCTTGTGGTGTTGAGAGAGACTCGTGGAGTGGTCCCAGCATCATGGTGTGGGGTGGAATTGGTGTTGCACAGAGGGTCGACCCTGTGGTCTTCCAGAACATCGGTCCAGGGAGAGGCAATGGTGTCACAGCAGCTCGGTACATTGATCAAGTCTTGAGACCACACGCCATACCTCATTTGGCACGTCACCGCAACCACGAGTTTCAGCATGATAACGACCGTGCCCGTGGCATCAGAACCATGCAGTTGCCTGCCCTCAGTCCCGATTTAAATTCCATTGAGCACCTGTGGGACGAGATACAAAGACGGCTGAATGACATCCGACAAAAGCCGAGAACTGCAGCTGAACTGCGTCAGGAGTGTGGGCTAAAGTGCCTCTTGCCTTCATCAACCGCCTCAGCCATTCCATGTATCGACGTTGCACGGCATTCATCAATGCACATGGCGGACACACCATATTCTGACTTGTGATGCCATTTTCTTAGAGACTGGTGTTGTGTTTCACTTTAAGAACATTTGGTACTTTAATTTCAACCTTGATGATCAGTTTTGCCAAGGTTCACCTTGTTTTAATGTGTCTAAAAGTATGTTTACAGTGTTTGGACAAATAAGGTTTCTCATATATCTATCCATGCAGACGTTTCTTTTGCGGTTCAGTATAGTTTAACCATAGATAATCTATAAGATATCATCATTATTTTATATGTTAGTGGTGCCAATTTGTGAGCAAATGTATATAAAAACACACCTTATCTAGTTATTTCCCTCAATTTCGACAGGTTCACATCTTAAACTGTCTCCAAAGCACAGTTCCAGCAGTAAACACAAAATGATACCTGCAGGCATCTTAAGCGCACCTTCCAAAAACACACCATGCAACTTACTTTCAGTTACCTTATGGGCCCGACGGGACATGGGTGGCCTGGTCATATGTTCCCTTGAATGAGCTGCGCGTCGGGATCCTATGATTGTGTGTCCGAATCAATGACGCCCTGTCATTGATTTGTCAGCATCACACCAACACCTCTTGGACCTTGGTTTTCATTATGCTGATCCATCCTGACAAGCTGGAACATTGTATAAAGCGATGGCAAACACACCTCAGACATAGGCGCAAGCACACACATCAGTGATGAGTCAGGCTTACAGTCAATATAGTTCTAATTGGAACTTGTTTTTAGACAGTGCCCAAAGACGATTTGTCTTTCAAGGTATTTCAAAGGCACAAAAATAAATATCAGCCAGACTGTCATTCGCAACACATATCTCCAACGTTGACAACACTCGTGAAAGGCCTCAGCTATGCCATTTAATGTTTTGATGATGATAACAGTTATCCCATACCCGATGGGCCAATCCTGACTGGGTCATTGATAGACGTGGTCGATACCATAAAAGTAGTACCTACCTGACCTTTCATATTTGCATATTTATCCGTAAATGACCCCAACGATAAACGTTTTTGCCGTTTGGCCCTTGGCTATATTCTGTCGAGAAATCTACCTACGTAATATTGATAAAAACTTGAAGTTTGTTACTTCCAACTGTCTGTATGTGGCTAAATAA